CTCTGCCCCCCGCTCCGAGGGCGCGCTGTTAAGCCGTGAAACGCCACGCTGTCGGGTGTTGTGGGTACCGCCAGCTTGGCAGCGATCGGGGGATGGTGGAGCGTTTGGTGTGGATGCTTTAGTGCCATGGGAACAGCATCTCTCGGGAAGCGGGGGCCCCAAGTAACACCGCGAGTATTCAGGGGTGGCGACCATCGCCTGTGCCTCTGTCTGGTTTTCTCTTTCACAGGCAGCTGCCTTTGACGGCAGAGGGAGAAACGGTTCCTTGGCTTGGGTGGGATGCAGGCTCACCCCTTGTGCCTGGTGCAGGTGTTTTAATTTAATTTCAGAGTGGTCGCTACCAGAGAAAACTTTACTACTGTCATAGATCTGCACCATTTGCTAATAAATGCTTACTTTATGTGAAAAGCCATACACTTGAAGCTTCTTCCAGTGGCACTCCGATGGCTGTATTCTCTGCTAAGTACATCTGTCAGGTGGCAGAAACAGCAAATGGTAACTGTAATGGTCAGTATTCAGCTTCAGCTATTAATCACAGACTCATACATATTTTACTTTTGTTTTTTTTGTATAGCCGAGTTTATTTGCAGTTAGAGCCTTGTGGAAGTTCAGATATGAACTTCAGCAATTGGAATATTTTTATACTCTTTCTGAAAAAAAGACTCATTGGGAAGCTGCATTATCACCTTTTTTTTTTTTCTAAAGTGTAGCGTGAGGGTTTTGATGTACAGACTGATGTACCCACATTGGTGTAACGTACTATAACCTATAATAATAACCAATATTATTAATAAAGCTGTCTGTGTATCTGAAAATGGAAATGATTCTAAGCTATAAGTGAAAGGGAAGGGGGGGGGAGCAGCTTGCTAATGAATGTATCTGCTGTTAGGAAAGTGGTTGGTTTGTCTCACTTGTGTACGTGAGAAAGGGGTCTAACAACTGCCACTGGCTTGTGATATAAAAAATGAGGAGCAGTTGAACAGGAGGAAAATTTTAGAGTGTGTACTACTCAAGTTTGATATGACTAAATATTGAGGAAAGAACACATGACAAGATGTGTCTCAAGGAAAGCATTCCCCATGAAATCCATAATTTATTCCATTAATTCAGTTGCTGTATGCCACAAGTCAGTAAAGCCGTGGTGATGTCTCATTGCTGCTCTGCCCAGAGCCCATTTTCCTTTCATATTTTGACTTAGCCTGATGATCCCGTCTTCTTCTCAGGCCTCGTGCTATCAGATCTTTGTGTTACTTGGATTTCATTGTGCAGTAACATTTTCCTGTTGCCCTCTGTGCTCCCCAGGACTGACCAGTTTCCTGCCTAAGCTTTCTTCTCGTTTCTGACTCTTCTCAGTCCCTCTTACCTGGAGGCATCTCTTGAGTTTCTGCTGTACTGTCACTAGGGGAGGCAGAGGTCTGGCACCTAGCCCAACAGAGCAATCTGCTCAAGCTCTTCATCTTGCCCTGGGCTCCTGGCCCTGCACTTAGACATTCAGGATTTCTCCTCTTCTGTGATCCCCTGATTTCCCCCTTCTGAACAAAACCACTTCTAACAGTTTAGTTCTCAGACTCTTCATTACTTCCACAGAAAAAAACCAAACCCAAACCTGCTGTCCTGTGCAGCTTCCATCCTTCCCAGCAGAGCTTTTCTCTCCTGCCCCGCTCCCAGCTCCTCTCAGAGCCTCAGCTGCCTTTTCTCTGCTGTGTTTCTATTTCTCATCTAGAATAATGTTTGCTGCTGGTTCTTCTGGGCTTCTTTTGGATTGGCACCGCGCTAGCGTGTCAATCAGCAGGGCTTTGCCGCACTTGTACGTATGGTAGCGTGGATCTTTGTGCGATAGGGACCCTGAAGTTACAACCAAGAACTTCTAAACTGTGAATGAGTTACCCTTCTGCCAAGAACAGAAGCTTCTGCCTCAGGGTGGATGCAGTGTCCTAGTGATTTAATTTAGATTCCTTGTTATATAGTGACATGTTTTCTTCCCCTCACAGGTATCCTCTGACAAATTACACGTTTGGTACAAAGGAACCCCTGTATGAGAAGGACAGTTCTGTGGCAGCTCGGTTTCAGCGCATGAGAGAAGAGTTTGACAAGATTGGTATGAGGCGGACAGTGGAAGGGGTTCTGATTGTACATGAGCACAGGCTGCCCCATGTGCTGTTACTGCAGCTGGGTACAACTTTTTTCAAGCTGTAAGTGTCTGTTTCTCAAATGTAACTTTTAGTTTAACTTTATTGTCACAGGCTGCTAAATGTGCAGGCCAGAGGTTAAAGCGTGGCTAACTGATGGATGTTTTGAATGTGATTCATTTCTTACAAAGACTTTGGGGGTGGGGTTTTCATTTAAAATGTCTTTGACTCTGCTCATGAGTGGGGTGGCAGGTTTTGAACCAACTAGAAATCTTAGTTATGGTGCATCACCATGGTAAAATCCTGTTTAAAACTCATTATCAGTAGTTACTGTGGTGTTTGTACATTGTGGAAGCTGTTGTGCTCAAATGTCCTTATGCTATGGCCGCAAAAATGGTAAAGTAGAGCTCAAGGAATAAACCCCAGTAAAGGCAGAATGGTACCCGGTTATAAACTACTGGGTGAGCTGGGGACGGCAAGAAAGGTAGGCATCTGAATCTGAGAAAACTGCTTCAGTTCATCTCATAGCTACCACTGCCAGAATGAAATTTTAGTGTTTGCATCATGTGGTCATAGCGATGGTGGCGGTGCTTGTTTTCTTTTCTAAACTGGATGGGCTTGACTTGACTCAAGTTATCCTGTTTGTGTTCTTGCCCTTATGTTTTGAACATTTATATTGTTCGTTGTCAATTCTCTGTGTGTGAAATCTAATTTTATATCCTCTGTGTGTGAAACCTAATTTTATATCCAGATTCCTCTTTGACATCTTGATTTGGGGGTATTTGCGGACAAAATAGCTTAGTTTTGCGAAACTCTGTAATGATGAAAATGTGGTTTTAGGTTTTTTCATTAACCTTGCATCAAATGCAGGATGGTTCCTCACATGAGTTTTATTTTCTGCTTCCTGGGTGCTTCAGTGAGTGCTGGTTTTGAGATTAGAACAAATACAGTCGGTACTTACAACTCTTTCTTCAGGTTCTGGTGCTTTGATACTGTTGTTAAAACTTTACCTTTTGAGTGTCCCTGTTATTTTTTTTTGCTGAAGTTCTGCTATTTTATGCAATAGTTATTTTTTTGAGGGACGTACAGTAGCCGTTTTAGTCATGGTTTTGGTGAAAGCTCTCCTACTGTCTTCAAACTCAGCAATGTTAGATTTGGAACTTCTGACTTAAGGGCCTTGAGTGAATTTGTAACTCCCTGTCTGGAAGCACATCCAAACTTACATGTGAAAGTCAGT